AGGCTATATACAAAAACAGAGTTAACTGTATTAGAGGAATCTTCTGGGAGCTTAGAAATGAGAACAGACTACTAAGGGAGCTCTGAAAGATCTATAGCTACAAGCTATGAAAACACTTTCAAGAGGTGATCTGGCGACTAAGATGTGAAGCTATAAATGAATTCGAGCAGGGCAGAGATATTATGAATTCCCAAAAAAAAAAGCGAGCCGAGAGAAGTGATCCAATATACAAGAAAACCAAGAAGAGAAAAACCCAAGAGACAAGAATTGAGAGAAGTATAGCAGATCAAAAGTTGTGGGAGGAGACAAAGAAAGAAATTAGAAAAGTAATTACAACTAATATCAAACCGAAGTGGTCAGGGCTCTACAGACCACACTGTTCCAAAACTTAAATGCAGTTCTGACAAGGCTAGCAACTACCGTCCAAGGATCTGATGAGTAATCTTTCAGCAAGTTGAAAGCCAAAAAGGAGAAAAAGAATTGCTGCGGCAGATCGTATTTGGGCACCTCTGAGCAGCTGGATAAGCTTTTATTAAAGAGAAGGAAGGGTTGTTGGCATTAGCTAGGAACTTATATATTTAGATTACGCATTCCTTATACAATAAAGGCAGGATTGCCAAAAAAAAATAAATAAATAAATTGGTATAAATTAAAATAATTTGCAATATATAGTAAATATTTAAAGTTTGAAAATAAAATTGATAGGAACTATTAAATGTTAACTTAACAAATATAACAAATTATATTCATTAAACATATTGGCGGATTTTTGGAATTTACTATTAAAAATTCTAAAAATATTTAATAGTGAATAAAATTTGATTCACTGGTCTGTTTTTGACAAAACAATTACCAAAATGTTCGTCTTGTTGAGACGATTCTAATGGACACAAAATCGTCAAAATCCAATTACAAAACCCTGAGATTGGTAGAGATTTGTGTAGCTTCAAGTGTTTTAGAATTGGTTAAACCAATTCTAAAACACCCGAAGTGAAACAAATCATCAAAGATATCGGGATCCTGTAATTAGATTTTGGTAATTTTGTATCCATTAAAATCGTCTCACCGAGATGAAACTTTTGGTAATTGTTTTGTCAAAAACAGATCAGTGGATCAAAAGTTATTCACTATTAAATATTTTTAGAATTTTTAATAGTAAATTCCAAAAATCCGCCGATATGATAGAAAAGTTTGGTATAAATCACAATAATTCACAATATAACATATTTATTTAAAGTTTGAAAATAAAATTGATAGAAACTATTAAATATTAACATAACAAAATAATAAATAAAAATAATTAAATTGAAATAAAATAGTATAAATCACTATAAATCACAATATATAGTATTTATTTAAAGTTTGAAAATAAAATTAATAAGAATTATTAAATATTTTAACAAATATAACAAATTATATTCATTAAATAGAAAAAGTTTGGTATAAATCACAATAATATATAATATTAAGTATTTATTTAAAGTTTAAAAATAAAATTAATAATAACTATTAAATATTAACATAATGAATATAACAAATTAATTTCATTAAATCGAAATAGATTAGTATAAATTGCAATAATTTACAATATACAGTATTTATTTAAGGATTAATGTATACATTGCACCCCACGATATTACTAATCTTCACCTGTTATATAAGATTATATATCAACACATGATCTATAACTTCGACTTTAAATATGTCAACACGTGATCTATTACTTCGACTTTAAATATTTATATATAGAATTGCCACTAAATTATATCCTACTCGAATCAAATTTTAACTATAATAAATCGTCTCAATTTGTATTGCGAAACTAACACTCGCTTAAAAATTTATTAAAGCTACTAAAAATGTCAAAACTGCTAATAACTTGCCCCATCATGCAACATAAAAGTAGCATTGCTACTAATAATTTGCATCATTATACAATGTATATTTCTGATCACATACTAAACAATCATGAATCATATATAAAGCAGATCAAAGAAGATCAAAGCATTTTGACTTTTTATCATTTTCAAAAATTCATCGCTTTCACAACTTACTATTTTAGTGACTCATCGCTTTGCAACTTATCGCTTTTACAACTCATCATTTCACAACTCACAATTTTTGTGACTCATCGCTTTGCAACTTATCGCTTTTACAACTCATTATTTCACAACTTACTGTTTTTAACTCATCACTTTTACAACTCATTGTTTTTGCAACCTATTGCTTTTACAACACATTTTAACTTATCTAATAATATGAAATCATACGAAACTGTTAATAAAAGTCTTTCAAACTTTGATTTAGAATTAGTCGAAATGAAAAAATACATATCCTTTGATAATAGTGCTGAATGTTCTGCTCAAGCATCACTCAAGAATTATAATGATGGTGGTAAAGAAATTGAAAATGAAGTACCAGCTGAATGATTTAAAAGAAGTACTAGCTGAACGATTTAATCCCGATTCTGAAGAAGTACCGGCTAAACGATTTAATTCTGATTCTGAAGAATGTAAAGAAGACATGTCAATTAATATGAACACTAGAGTAGTGGTAGCATCAGAGGATATACCCAAAAACACTGAATTTGATTCTTGGACAGAGGTTGAGAGTTTTTTTGAAGATTATGGAAAACAAAATGAATTTACGATAGTTAAATACCATGTGGAGAGAAATAAGGCTGGATTTGTTCACAAGCAAACTTTAAATTGTGAATTTGGAAAAAAGTACAAACCTAATAAAAGTCAAATTAGTGTTTAAAATAGTAAGCAAAGAAATACAAAAACAAAAAAGATCAACTGTCAATGATACATAAATCTTTCATATGGTGAAGGTGGAACACATATATCTATTATCACGTTTGTCAATAAGCCCAATTATAAGATTAATCTTGATACACAATAATTTGGGCTTAAATACCATTCTCTTACTGAAGATGCCTTGAAAGAAGTAGAAATAATGACAAAATATGGGAACTTATCTATTACTCATCAGCAAAAATATATATGTATAAACTTTCGTAAGTTTTTACGGTGCGTAAGAAAATCGTAAACCTACGTAAAATTTAGCGTAAAACTACGTAAATC